GCTCCCAACCCCCTGCCAGACCTCTGCTTGCTGCAGCACCACAGGAAGCCCTGGCTAATTGGGCATGGTTTTGAGTGTCCCAGTAAGGTACCTCATGGTCCACCCAGAGATGTTCACCCACTGCCCAGCACTGCTCTCATCACCCACCTCCCCTGGACAAGTATACATGCTTGTTACCCTCTGCTTCCTCCCTCCCTCTTGGAGGTCACCAGGTGCTCCAGGCTTTCCTCTTTGCACACACTGAAACATGCAGCATCCCACCTTTTTTCCCAGACTGGCCCTTGAGGCCAATTTCCAAGCACTTCTTAGTTGTCACAGAGAAACTGAACACGACACCTGCTGACATGTGCAACCTGCAGTTCTTTTTGCTGACAAAAGGCTGTTCCCACCTGCCACACCTGCTCCCTGCTCTTGGAGACATTATGCTGGCAGTGTTCCCCTCTGACAGTCCCAGCAACCCCAGTGGTGCAGGGCTCTCTGCCTCAAGGTAAGTGTGGTGTGGCCTCACACCCCAAGCACGTTGTATTTGCTTACTGGATGGCAGTGACATGATGGGATAGAATCATACAGTCATAGAATCACAGGAAGGTTTACAGTGGGACGGACCTTAAAGCCCATCCAGCACCACCCCCTGCCCTGGGCAGGGACACCTTCCACTAGCCGAGGTTGCTCCAAGCCCCATCCAACCTGGCCTTGGACACTTGCAGGGATGGGGCAGCCACAGCTCCTCTGGGCAACCTATGTCTCACCACTAGGGAAGAATTCCTTCCCAGTATTCCGTCCATCCCTGCCCTCTGGCAGTGGGAAGCCATTCCCCCTTGTCCATGCCCTTGTCCAAAGCTCCAATTCAGCTCTCCTGTAGCTCCATCAGGGATAGTCAGTGACCTGTTTTGTAAGCTCTGATGTCTGAAGAAGAATGTGCAAGTGGCCTGAAACATGTGGCACAGGCCAGGTTTTGTGGCTGTGTCCTCTCGAAGTCAAAAGTGGTCTGAGTGTGTTGTTCCTTCATGGATATTGATTGAG